TTACAACTTTAAAATAAGGATCATCAATTTTCTTGGCAGTGTCTACAGAGTCTATCTTGTGAGTTTGTAGAATGTAGATCATGTATGTTGCTATGTTCTTGTTCTTTTTTTCCCCTTCCCTCTATGAAAAGCTTCTTCTAATTGGGTTATTTCAATTTAATGACAAACTTCTATATCTGCTTTTCATTAAAGTTTTGCTTCACTGTGCATTTCCTGCTTTCATGTGTTGCCCTCGCCAGTGGTGTTCTCTTGGGAATTTCTAAAGAAGCTTCAAGAATAAAACACTGAATAAAGCTGTCAATGAGCCTTTATATCATCCTAGTGAATCACTAATTCTATGCCTGACACCAATGAATAAAGTTTCCAGATGATGTAATGTCACATTTTGCCTCAGTGTATGGGATGAAAATTCAACTGACATGTATAACTTGTTTTACCATATTTAAACAGATTGAACTCATTTAATTGTATTCTCTATCTTGCAGCTTACGGGCATCAATGGAAGGATATCTTGATGCCTATAATCCAATTAGCTCTGTAACTCCTGCAGGGATTTTCATCAATCGAGTTGAGGTGAGGGCCTGGTTGGTGTTGATTGGTCGCCTTTCTGAAGCAATAAAACTCTATTTATAGTATTCAGTAGCTATATCAAATCATTAGGTACTTCGATTGGTTGTGGACTTATGATTATTTTCCTAAAAATTGTTATGAATCTCAGAAAAAATATTACCAATGTATTATTTTCTTTGAGAATTATTGCTAATGATTTTGGTTGAATTTTCATCTGGGTTCTGGCTTCACGTGCCTACTTGAACCTTCAACTCCATTCTAACATTTTAAAATACCTAAGCTTGTAACTGGTGGTTTGCTAATTCCTTTTTCTTCTTTTGTGCATAAAGGAAGTGGAATTCGAATGTGTTCCAACTTCTTTAATGGACCAAGTTATCACATTTTTAAATGTAAGTACTGGTCACAATTTTCTAGTCAGACTAGAGGCCATATTTACTATTTCTCTGCTTAAATTTATTATATCATATTTACAGTTTCCTGTGTAACTTTATCTTATTTTTTCCATTTAGGATGTTAGAGAAGATTTACGGTATTCAATGGCAAAGGATGTGATCACTATCAGAAATGAGAGTTTAAGAATAGACGGAGATATAAATGGCATGGAAAATATGTCTGCAAGTGGTGAAGGAACTCAGGTTAAAGACATGTCATCAGATTTCCAGAAAAAGATTACTCTGGCCAAACATGATGTGGGAGAAGATGTTGGTTCCTTTTATGGGAATGGAAAAGCCTACAAAAAAATAGCTGGTATGTTCAAATATGTTCGGCATTAAAGGAAGAAAACATTATGGATAAATGGGTATTTATTTAATTGAAATAGCAGCCTTAGAAGTTTTGCAGACATAGCAGTGCTATGTGAGCTTTTTATTTCCTAGATTATATGTACTTCTGTTAGAAGCTAAATAATAGAGATAGTTACTTTTGAACTAGGGAGGAGGTAACTTGTGATTAATAATCCTGGTACTATGCTCCACCTGTAACCGCATCCCTGCACAAATAGCAATAGGCGATTGCTCTCCTTGCTGTAGAGTTGAAAATGAGTGTATAAAAATGATCCAAGTGATCAACGCTCCTCATAAGGCCAAAAAGGTAATTACTTAAAAAATAATGTGACTATTTTGCTTTAAAGTTTGAAAACACAGCTTTTGAGATGTCATCATCTCCACTCTCTTGTTTATTAATTCATGAAGAGACTTTGCTTTGATGTGCTATTAGCCTAAACCTTTGTTTTACGGACACTCAAGCAACTAAGAGATACTACTAGTATACTTATATTTATGAAGAGACTTAGGTGTACTTCTGTTGTATCCCTTTCAATTTGCTGCTTTGTTCTCCCAAAGAAGTGGATGCTTATATTTTCCTGAAATTCAAGAGTTTTTGTCCACTTTTATTTAATCTGATATAAATTGACAGAAATGGAAGAGGATGATCTCCTTCTCGATCAGTTATTGCTGTCAAGAAGATTCTCTCTGGAACAGATAAAGGCAAGTTCTCAAAATTTCATCCTTGTAGCATCACTACTTGACCGCATACCTAATCTTGCGGGTTTGGCACGCACATGTGAGGTTGGTTACTTGTTCTGTCGCATTCGGTGCCTTTTGCAATCTTATCTAGCAATCGATATATATTATTTTCTTGTCTTCCATTTTCTGTTGTTAATTGTCACTTTGAGCAGGTGTTTGGAGCATCAGGGCTGGCCATTGCTGACAAAAGCATCTTAAAGGACAAACAATTTCAACTTATCAGGTTTTGATGATAGTTGGATTGGGTTGTTTCTGCGTGAACATGTTACATACTTCCACTAATACTAACTCACTTGGACTGTCCTTAAATCTCTAGATGAATTATTGAATATATCATAATTGAATGACACGTTATAAAACATTGTGAAGATGTGTCTGCTGGCTATTCCTTATCTGTACAACTTGAATATTGTTATTTTTTGGGCACATGTTTCTTGATATGGTTATTACTGGGCACATTTTTCTAGTCACGGGAGAACACCTCACTTCATAGTTACTAGATTCGTTCAACTAGATAATGCCTAAATTGGTTTCTTAACTTGTGAGTTTAATATCTCCTGTCAATGTTAATTTCCCTTTAAAAAAATAAAAATAAAAATCATGGAGTGTCTTTGCTATTCGTAGTAGTATCAATTTTTGTGATTTTTTTAACATAAGGTATTTTTGTTGTGTTAGTGTTATATTTTATCAGTAATTCACAAGAATTGATATTTGCAGTGTGACAGCTGAAAAGTGGGTTCCTATAGTGGAAGTCCCAGTGAACAGTGTAAAGGCATATCTAGAGAAAAAGAAGAGAGGAGGATTCTCCATCTTAGGATTGGAACAAACTGCAAATAGTGTACCCCTCGATCAGTTTAAGTTTCCTAAGAAGACAGTAAGTTGTCTTTAAGAGTTCTGGCCTTCCAGTGTTTTAATGTTGTTCCCGTGATTGAGCAATATCAGGAGATGCGACATAAGTAACAGTGAAATTCACTTTTCCACACAATTGTTCTTTGTACCTCGTTACTATGTTCCAGGGGGTCTTCTTGCCTACTTTTACAATGTTTTTTACGCACTTGTGCATTTGCATGATAATGTTTGGTTGAATTAATATCCAATAGTCACCTGGCCATAGTTGAACCTTTTGTTGAGATTGGCTGGACTACCCCGTTTAGTGCCTTCAGGATGGCTTTTTGGAAAGATATTTCATTTTGGATCCAATTTCTTTTTTCATGCCTGTGCATGGGTTGCACTCTTGGTTATCCGTTTTTCTAAGGATGTGATAAAATTGTGGCTTCCTGAGTAAAATGCTCTTGTGGAAAGAAAATGTAAAGCACCTGGTATAGTCTCCCCCCTCCCCTTCATTTTAGTTATTAAGTAGAGTTGAAAATAAAATGTAAATTAACCAAACATTTTGCATAATAGCTCACAGAATCCACTTTGTCAGATATTGAATAAGCAAGGTGGAAAAGAAAACAAATGGGGATAACTTCTCTTTGCTTGTCTCTTTCTGTGGGTAGGGGGAGGGCAGCGGGAAGAAAATCCAATTTTCTTTCCTAGTAGGGTGCCCTTTTTCTGGGTTTTGTATTTTTTTTTTTTTTAACGTGTAGCTTCTGCTATTGATTAGATTTATTTGTAGCTTGATACACGAAAACGTGACATTTCCTCCTTTACATCTGAAACCTTATTCGGGTGTTTACTCAGGTACTGGTTCTTGGTCGGGAGAAAGAAGGCATACCTGTTGATATAATTCATATTTTGGATGCATGCATCGAGATTCCCCAATTGGGGGTTGTTCGATCTCTTAACGTTCATGTGAGTGGCGCTATTGCTATGTGGGAATATACTCGACAGCAGAGATCTCAATAGTTCATAGTTTCAGAAGTCGATGTGTGTGTGTGTGTGTGTGTGTGTGTGTGTGTGTGTGTGTGTGTAGGTCAAGAAGGGAGAGAGTTGTAACATTTAGCTGCAGAAGTCAAGACCTTCATCACGTGGCTTCCAGAGGGGGGAAAAAACGGAGCATAAAATTTTTGGCGGATTCCACAATAAGAAATGTATGAGGAATGTGGCTGTAAAGATTACTGAGATAAACTGATATAATTGGTTTTAGTTTACTTTTCTTTTCATCTGGCACTTAGTTATTACTGCTACGTCAATACGCTGAAGCTGAACTCCAACAATTTTTCCTGATAGTTAGGATACTGCTCTTTGCACTTGTCAATATTAAGAAATACAGCCAGTGGCATCTCAGCCCGAAGTTGAACCCAAAAATTCGTTAGTGGAACGCTTCCGTGAGCTTTGTGAATGCCATGCGAGGTACAGCTCTTATTCGCATGTTCAACATTATTGAACCTCTACTCTGGAGACTGACACTTTGATGGCCCTGTATTGATATTGTCGTCACCCTCAATGCTACAAGTGAATTTTGTATTTTTGACTTCTTGATGTGGCTGTTTAAATCGATGATAGAATGTCTGGTTACATCTCCATATAAAATTTAGAGGAAAACACACTATTCAGGAGTCATGAGTGGTGTGCTTCAATTTTTTAGATGTCTTGCAATAATTACGTATTTAGTTATTTAACATAATTATTGAAAAGTGCCGAAACTGAGACCCCATGGTTCTAGAAGCTGGGTAAATGAAAATGTTTCTACTTGTATTTTTTTAATATTTTTTTTTTATGGGTTCATATGTCGCTGGGTCATTGTTACCATGCTTAGTAGTTAGTAGTTCTCCCATAACAAGGTCGTTTTCCTTTGCATGAAGTGGATGAAGTTACTTTACTGTAAGTTTATTCAACTTGTGAAGTATTAGCATGTGCCCAGGGGAAAAAACTCAGAATGCAGTAGCAACCGTAAATGACAGGACGGGGGAAGGAAACTTGAATTTTAGACGATGGGTTCGAATTTTGATAGTAACATATCACCTTGAGACGAAAACGCCTTCAAAACTGAACCTTAATGTTTGCGTGTTGATGAAAACATTCTGGGAAAGAGACATTTTCTTCTTTTCACCTGCGAGTGAAAATATTAAACATAAATTAGATCGGGGCATACTAAATATTGTGCCTTTAGAGCAATAACAATTCATGGTATTTTCACCAATATATGCATGTATGTATGTATGGTAAGATTTGCCGACCCTTAATATTTTGATGAAGCTTGTTATCTGAGTGAGAGGCAATCTATTCTGCATCTCTTTTTTCTTCTCTCTGTTCTTAGGTTCGGAACTTGTCCTTGATCTCAAGAAACTCGGAATCAATAGTTTCCAATTGCCAAAGCAACTATAAAAGTTTCCTTCGTGCATTTGCTTTCTCATGGAAGGGACAACCTTCAAAAGGAGAACAAATTAGACTACTAATCCTAGTAATTCACAATCAAAATTGAGAAGATCAAAATTTGAAACTAACTCTTTTTTTGAAAACTTTATCTCCACAATATCTGTTTCTCATAATTTGTAAGACCAACAATCAAACAAACATTCAGAGTGAGACATACCAAGTTATATCTACAATCTTACCCGTGTGGAAGGTTGCTCATTAACATTATTAGAAATCTGCTTGAAAGGTAATAAGGTGGTGGATGGTGCTTTTCGTGCAGAATTCCGCAGGAACTGAGAGTATCTAAGAAGTTCTGCTTTCCTATCATATCCTTGACGGGGAGAGCCATTATGATGAACTACATGATAGTGGTGGTAGTGGTGATGATGATAAAGATGATTTGATGGCACCACCATCTTCCTCGGCTTCTCCACATATACCCTCACCAGCACTGCCTTTCCTTTCCTGCATATCACCTACAAATATAACCATGTTAAAACCCAGCACAGCCAACAGAAAACACACACACACACACACACACACACACAAACGAGTAGTAAGTTTACCTGTTGGGTTGGCATTTTTGGATAAGCAAGGATTCTGAGAATTCACTAATTATAAGTTTGATTCTGCATTTTTTTGCGTCAATGGGTGTTAGCGATGGTATCACGCAGGCGTATGAAGTGGAGAGGGTCTAGTCGAGACAGAGAAAGGTTCAATTCATTCTCTTTGGATGGAACGAAACAAACATACTTGGAGTGAAAGAAATATAAAACTGTGATTAGATCGTTATCTGCAATGTTGTGGACCCTATGTGGGTGCCTTGGCGCAATCAATACTTGCGTTTCTTAACTAGTTCCCCCTTTTGTTTTAAAATCTGAAAATGTCATTGTTAACGTAAGTGTGTGTGACCCTCTTGCCTCGATGCTGTACCTAACTGTGTGGTTGCACATTTATTGGCTTATTTCTTCCCAAACCTATCTTAATTGATAGAATTTCATATGTAATAGCAGCTACAATGCATATGCATCGACTTGGTAAATATATAAATATTTTGTAGTGTACCCGCATGTTTATACATATTTTCTCTATGTTTATTTACAAGTCTTTTCATGTTTTTATTTTTAGATCATTGCAAAGTTGTTTCTTCTTAATAGTGTTCTTGATATGGATGTTGTTTAATAACTATGATGGATCAATAAATTGAAAGATATAAGGAAAATTATATTTAGGTCTTACATAAGAAAATTTATTATCAAGAGATTTCATGAAATTCATAAAATACTCTCAAGTTTCAAATTCTACGCATTCACAAATTGATTGAAGGCATTAACAATTAAACAACGGTCATTTACAACTCATAAAGAAAAATGAGAACTTGTAATAGTAAGTTGAACAACGCACTCAATCAAGTTATAAATGTACAGGATTTGAGATTTAAAAGTATTTTGTGAATTTTATAAGATCTCTTAATAATAAATTCTCTTCTATGGGCCCTAGATGTAATTTTTTCTAAAATTTATTACATTCAATTTATGGTTTATTTGGGAAGACAGAGTAATATTAAGAAGACCAACTAATTTTTTTTAAGTTAATTGTATGAAACATTCATTCTTTTGCGCTGAGATTCTGCATAGGGTGATTGATGTTGATTAATTGGGTGCATGAATGTGATTATTAAAGTTTCTTGGGGCAATGTAAATAAGTAATAGTTTTTGCACGTGACTAAGGGCTAACGACTTCTTTTTTAATTAATGGTTTATTTGGAAAGACAGAGTAACATATTCAAATATTAAAGAATCTTTATGAGTTTGATTAGACTTTGATGTATAAGTTTTTATTAACACCTTATCTGCCCTCTAATCCAGAAGTCAAAAAAATTCTCTCGAGTTTGATCTATTCAAGATCATGGGGGGCTAGGGTGGGTTGCTTCCTAAATCGGTTAGCCATTTTTTTTTCCTAACAAAAATTATAGAGTGATACTTAAAATTGAGTTTTTTTACATAAATTCTAATGAAATTACAATTTATTGTGAGGGAAAAATAATACTTAGGACAAAAAACCTCAGCGAAACCCCCACGAACGATGACGAGCAGAGGAGGAGGAGGACGAGAAGCAAAGAAGGCATTAGCTTGTTGAAGAATGAAGATTAAAGGCAAGTTATCACAAATGTGTCGAGCAGGTGAGAATAAGGAGAGAAATCTAATAAAATTTAATGTCAAGTACAACTTACATTCAAAGCTCACTCATTCTTCTTGCTTCAATTTTTTTGTTCTTTGTTTTTTTTGGCTTCCCACCCGATATCTTAGAGAGTGTGGGTATTCTAGGTTTATTACCCGCCCACCCTATTCCAAACTAATCCAGATTTCCATATAGGTCGGGCTCTTAAAATGGTGATTTTGTGAATACCACTGAAGAGACACACTTTATGTGCTCAACTACATGTTTATATATCTTGAGATTCAAATAAGAGACCCCAAGTTAAGTTATCTAAACCCCTAACTGCTTAGACAAGCGCCTGTTGGTTCTTCTTGCTTTAATTGGGAGGCTTTTCTTCCACAAAGCTATAATAAAAATTTTTTTTATCCCAATAACAGTTTTTTGCTTTCAAATGGGCTTTTGACATCTGAAGTTTCGGCACCCAAACCTTAGATGAGGTGTTTACCCAGACATGCACATAGCGGAACTCAACTCAATCTCAATCGAACTTCTTGTGGCCTCTCCGAGCATCACGTGCATAGTTTATGGATGTGCCAAATTAGTTGGTTGCTTGGTCTAGCTAGGTAACTAGCTCACCACATACATGCAAGAACTCAGTTTGCTGGATCCCCTTTGTGCATCTCCATTATGACAGCTTATTCTTTTTCCTTTTTCTGATTTTATCAGCTTACTTTTACGAGTTGGAGATAGCTGCACCAAATTGCTAACTTCAACCGGTAATAGGAGAGTGACAGTGGCGGATTCCCTAAGACAAGAACTTCAGGGGACATGCACAGGACGATATAAAACTTCAGGAGATAGTTGCACCAAATTGCTAACATTTGCAAATGCCCATTTCGGGATACGTCACATTGCTTGTTAGGACACTGATCCTTGTGATATTGATGCACGCCCTGTTGCCATTATAGAAGCATGGAAAATTTTTGGAACACCCTTGTTCATTGTCTCATTGGAAAGTGATGACAAAGAAAGAGATAGAGAAACTTACCCTCCATTTGGATGGAAAGAAAACTTGAGAGAAAAAAAAAATGAGATAAAGAAAATGGAAAAAAGAGATGCAAGAAGAAAATATCATCTTGTTTTCTCTTTGGGATCAAGAGGAGAAAATAGGAAGTGAAAAAATGAGCAAGTAATATAATAACTATAATATCCTTATATAAAATATATCATGTTTTTATATGATTACTTTTATAAAAATAAATTAAAAGAAAAATTATATTAAAATTAACTTCATCAAAATATTCAAAATCAATTTATTTATTATTTTTTCATTTTATTCTATTTTAAAAGCAAATAATTTAGTAAAAATATATTATTTTTTATCTACAACATTAAATGGGGATAGTTAATTTAAATTAAATATAATCCGTCTAATAGTGGATGTAACTCCGGCGAGATCATTGCACTGGGTTGAAGAACAAAAGGAAGGGCATGGAGTAGGCATGGTTTTGTACAGGGAGACAGAAAGAGGTGGATGATGACCACATTTACGGTGTGAAATATTGAAACAAAATAGTGGGAGAGAGAAGAGTACACCAGTGACAACAAATTTCCTCCCAAAATCTCTCCTATAATGAGAGAAAACTTGAAAAGAAAATGTGATGAGTCTCACATCATTTTCTTCCATACTTTTCTTCCCTCATCCAAATAAGGTTGTTTTCTTCCCTATTTTCTCTCCATCCAAACAAAGCATTAAGGATACAAGCTTGTGGCTACAATTTAGTTTCTTGTAAACCTAAAGAACTTAGAAAGTGATCCTTAATGTGTGCCGAAATAAACTGCAACTTCAACAGGACCAGTTAAGAACAACTCACTTTCACACACACACACACACAGTCATTGTAACCATATAGAAACTTTCTGAATGAGGAATTTGATCATTCATCTGCACTAGTATGACAGAAAGAATTGAGATACAATGTCTGATTCATAATCTTCTCATTGCTTAGGCAGAGCAAGATATATAGAATGCTACTTTAAAAGACAGAAGGGGTGGGGGGAACTACAAAACAGCAATCCCACTATTCGTTTTTGGAACTGCTTGAGTTATCATCCTGCCAGGTTGCTTGCCATTGTTTGTCATAAAATGTTGTCTCTTCCAATAGCTTCTTGAGATTATCCAAGTCCTCATTCTTTCGGATCAGAAGAACTCCCGCCACTGCTATGAATAGAAGAGTTTTGCAGAAAAAATTGCCCATTTGGTCAACTAGACCTACTCCTGTCAAGCTATCCACCAGATAGGCCATAAAGAATCCTATCATTGCTGCACGACCTGATTGGATACACAAGGGAGGAAGTACAAATGGATCAGTAACTGCGATTTCTTTTTGTTACTGGCATACAATCCTTCATTTTCTAATTTCACATGAGAATTCAAATTAGAACAAACCATTAAGCAGTTCAGCTTCAGGAAGATGGAATCTTTTCATCCATGCCCACCAAGGTATGATGGAGGTGTCAAAAACTACAGGGCTTTCATTACTGGATGATTCTGGGTTATCCTCAAGCCATTTTCTTCTCCTAGCCTCTGGGGAAAAAAAGAATAAAAAAAATCCTTGTATGAATTTGGAAACTGCAAAGCACCAGATGGAACTAAAAGTAGATTTAATATCAGAAACTCAGTTCTTTATCAAATCTTATTCCAATAGTTCATATATTCTCCCTCTCTCAAAGAAATAAGAAGAAACCAGAATATGAAAGCATGCATAAACCTGTCAAATAGAATGTAAAGATGGCACCTTTGAATAGGCAATCATTCACAAAAATAGTTTTATTGGGTTATTGGAAGTTGCAAAAGATGAAAGAGCGCTATATTATAAATTACCTTAATCATGTTTATGGTACTAAAGAGATGAATCTTGCATAACTTTGATAGATTTATTAAACTTCTGACAGATCTTTGTCAACATAGGTTCAGCTGATCTTCGTCACAAGTCCATATGTTTCAGACTAATAATCTATGCCTTGAGGAAGAGGAATTTATTATTCGGAACTAAGCAAAGAGAAAACATCGAGGCCAACAATACATGTGATAATAATCATAAATGGTCGATTCAAAAACCCAGCATTTAGATTTTCTTCAGGCCTACAAATGTAGAAGATAGATATCAAGTGCTATATCGCCATCAAGCTTTTGGCTTGCTGGTGAGTCCCTTCTAGCTTCACCTATCAAGTCACTGGTTCGAGGCGTCCAAATACCATAACTATCAAATGCTATATCAAGACAGGAGGAGATAGAAACCGAACACCTGAGTTAGAGCGCTATCCAGACCAGAAAGATGGTGCAAGTGCTACAGCTAACTACATTGATAGGATTTGTAACGCTAAGCACCCTTTGGTTATCCTGGAAATGGCAGAGAGTAACAAATTCTTTGCCAGCAAAGAATATGAAATACTGCTATTGTACTTCATCACTGGACATTGTAAACATAAACGGTAGCTGAGAACGAAACAAATGAAATTTCACCTTTTACAACTTCGAACAGAAATCCATCATCCATGGTCCATTTTGTCAAACTATTTCACAAGGCATACTTAAAGACACAGCGTATTAGCAACTACAACAAATTCATAAGCTCACCAGCATCAATAATGGCATCCCAATCGGTCTGGCCATTTTTCTGAAACTGCTTTAAGTCCCATGTCCCTCCCACCCATCTTGGGTCCTCAAAATTACTGAAAACCTTCACTTCCTCGGCCACTGCAGCAGCAGACCCATTATGTCCGGCAAGGCTCTCATGCTTCTCCGGCGGCGGTGGGGAAGGCTCCGGGGCCGACTGTTCCACTTGGGGTTCCAATTCCACAGCAGTTGCAGCTGAACCTGAAGGTCCGATCCCATTTTCGGATGCAGAAGCCTTTGAGGTAGAGAGAAGAAAGAAACGGTTGTCGGGCCTGAGGGAGATGAAGGGTTTGGGGCTGAGATGAGGTTTACTGTGCGATGAAGGAGTGGTTAAGAAACGAGTTGGAGGAGAAAACGATGCCATAGTAATCAACATTGCTTGCACAAGTATGGTCATCAGAACATGGTTTCTGTTTTGGATTCTGGGGCTATCCTCAGCCTTAGAATAAGCCAACAAACCAACAAGCACGCACCACGCTAAAGTCATGGGCTCATGGCTAGGCACTCACCTGATCAATTCAATAATTCATGGGTTATTACCGAATAATAATAATAATAATAATAATAATAATAATAATAATAATAATTCATGGGTTAAAGTGTAAAAATATTTTAAATTTTTTTGCAAGGGTTCCTGTTATTTTTGTAATGACGTTGTTATTCTGAAATTTTTAAAAAGAGTATAATGTTGTCATGTCATTAATGTTGATTATTAATTTGACTTTAATATCAAAGTTGGCAGCCACCTAAAATTTTAAAAAAAAAAAAAGTATCCAAACGTGTAACTTATTTCTTTCAATTTATTTTTTTCTTGAATCTCTTTCAATCTCCAATCATTGAAAGAATCACTTCGTCGACATCAACCCATCCTCTTATACCCATTCTCTAAAAAAAAAAAATCTTGGTCTAAGTTGCCCATTGCTATGTTACCTTACCCAAAGCTTGATTACAAGAAAAACCACATACTAGCGATTACAACAAGCACAAGCACAAGAAGAACCAAAGTTTGATTACAACGACCAACGACTAAGATGATGAGCACGATTACAAAGGCTAGCAATGAGGAGAATGACAAGCAAGATTGGGTTGAGGATTGACTAGGGACTATGAACACAAACCAGTGACAATGAGCATCTCAAGTGGCAATGACTAAGTTTGGGCGCATAAGGACCAGCAATAGGGAGAACGATGAGCATGATTCGAGTGAGTATCAATTATGTAAGTTTAATTGGCTTTAAATAAGAGAAATGTAGAGGATGCCAATGGATTTTGGATAAGTTTGATTGAGTGATTCAAGTTTTCTTTGTGCTAAATCCTTACCTAGTTCATATGGGCATTTCAAATCTCAGATCTATTGATCTATTGATAGTTTAAAAATTGTATTTGCTTCCATGGGTCACAATTTTAGTGTGGAAGAACTTGTATTTGAGTTAGCTGTGCTTTAATTTTTTTTATGCTTGCTTGTTTGATCTGGGTTCTTATTTTTGCTTGAGAAAGAACTTAGATCTGCGCTCACTATTTTGTATGCTTGCTTGTTAGATCTGTTGAATCTGAATATCTCAATTCATATGTATAATAAAATATGATAGAATAAAGTAATTCATGCGTACCTGAAGAATCCATGAGCGCTTGAGAAAGCTCGATTACCTTGAGCGTAGGCAGGTACACAACACACAGGTCTCTAGAGTCTTCAGAGAGTTCAGAGATAATGAAAGTAGAAGAAATGAGTTGTGTGTTTGCGGTTATTGACTAATCGACTTATATAGATCAGATATGTAACTGCCTTATTAAATAATTAATAATTATATTATCTATTATCTTCGACTCAGTCAATTAAGAGATAGGAAATAACTGACGGCTACTGGGTTGTAGGTTAGGCCTCTACCCATTTGGCTTACTTGTGTGGAAGTGGTCCACCTATCACGGTCCATATAAGATTATAAAAACTAATTTATTGGGCTTATTAATTAATGCTAATTTATAAATAATATTTTAACAAGATTTATATCCAATAGACCTAACATGTTATTTATACTTATATAGACGACTAGTCTAGCTTTATGTTTGGGCTGTCTTGGTTCTTTTTTTGCTTTGCTGGGGCTTGAAATTTACCAATCTTTTGCCTCTCTTGACTCAGGTATAGGATGCTTCTTGTGATCTCTAGCGCTGGATTCTTGAGTTGGTTACAAAATGGTCCTTTTTTTGTCTTCTGGTTGTAAGATTCTTGGCAGACCTCATGCAAATAAGTAGTTTTCCCCAAGGCTTTTCTTGCCTTTCCTTTTTAAGCAATTTCTTTTCACATTGCTGGGTATTTTTGAACTGGGTTCCCCTATCTAGCTCGTAAATTTAGTTGTTGATTGGGAATATTTGTGCCAGAAATAATTGGAAGAGATTCATGCCCGAAAAAAAAAAAGGAAATTGGAAGAGACGAGTCAAACGGTTGGTTATGTTTTTTTTTTTTTAATGCAAGGTGGCTAACCAAGTTGGTAGCCAACATCAAACAAATGGTATTGATGATAAAATAATATTGCACTCTTTTTAAAAATTTCAGAGTGACACTACTTCTAAAAAAAAAGCTAAGATACTAGACGCTTTTAAAAAATTGTAGGACATTTTGCTCTTTTATCTCATGATTCATCACTGAATTACCATCATTGTTATTACTTCCCTCCCTTTTTTTTTAACACCCACATGTCGTACACTTTCCCATTGGAAAGTCCGCACACCTGATCAAATATTTGCCTAAATTTACCTCAGTTCAAACCTGTGGCCTCTCCCACACGCCACAAGGCCAATGGCCTTTGGCTACCCCCCCTTTTAAATTATTAAATTTTGTTCCAATAAATTAATTAACTTTATTTTATACATTATCTTTTATATTTATCTTTATTTATATAGTATTTTTATAAATGAATATAAAATAATTTATTTATTAAAGATTTTTTAAAAAAATATATTAATTATATTTTGAAGTACTAAAAACATGTTACAATATGTAGTATCCAACTCCTTAAAAGTTCTTTACATTTATGGAAAATCACTCCAAAATTCCTTGTAAGAATTTTAATAATAAAAAAATTTCATAAGATGCATAAAATACTTTCGAATCTCAAATTATGTGCAATTATAATTTGGTAGACAATAATGACAATTTGGCAGATATGACCTCTGTCAAGTTGTCATTTTCTTTTGTCAAGTTGCAATTGCATAAGATTTGAGACTTGACAATAATTTATATATTTTGTGGTACTTTAAGGTAATTAAAATATTTGTGTGGGACTTCCAAGTAATTTTCCTAAATTTATTAGTTCTAAAATGTTAAAACCTATGCAAATATTCTTTCAACGACAATCAAAATAATTTTTTTCCTCAAAATATATCACATAAATTTCATCAGAGGGGTGAATGTGTAAATTAGACCTTGAATTATAGGTTTAAAAGTTATAAAATGTTAAAACGTATGCAAATATTCTTTCAATAGCAATCAAAATAAGATTTGTTTTTCCCCTCAAAATATATAATATAAATTTTCTAAAAGGAATGAATGAGTAAATTAGACCTTAAATTATAAATCTAAAAGTGTTTAAGATTTTAAACTCATTATTTGTGCAATGTACTCCCAATTTTTAAAAATTATACAATTTAACTTTTATCGTTAATAAAAGTTAACTTTAATAATTAGTTAAAAAAAGACTTAAAAATTTACAAAAAATGACCCAAAAATTATAGATAAAGACAAAAAAGTATAAAAAATAATAAAAAAAATTTTACTGGTTCCTTTTTTTTTGTAATTTTAAAAATCCTTTGCTATCATTTTTTTAATAAATTAATGATTAAAATTAATTTTTTTTACTGTAAAGATTAAATTGTATGTTTTTCAAAAGTTAAAAAAGCACATTACACAAATAATAAGTTAAGGATTTTAAATGTTTTTAAACATATAATTTAAAAGTGAATCTGCTCTTTTTAACATTTATAAAATGTCGTATTACAGTTAAAGCATCACTTCTGTCAAACTTTATTTAAAAAAGAAATTTTTTTTGCAGCATCTAAGGAGCAAGGACTATTTTCAATGAAACGGGCTCGTTTTGTTCTTCACATGAGGCGCACGTGAATCTTCCGCCCCGAAGGAGATCGGGACGCAGCAAGGTTCGGCTTATTTAGGTGTTCCATAAGATAATAGCTGTTTCTACCGATCCCTAATTCAGCTTCGGTGATTCCGTCGCCGACAAGCTTCTGCTGGGGTTGGAACTGTTACTAAATACTAACCCATCCTCTTGATTTTCTTTTTGGCCATGTATCCTGATTCAAATAATTGAGCAAGACCCCCAAATTCCCAATTTATTCGAACCTAGATTTGGGTTTTCAATTTCACCATTTTTCCTGAAACCTAAAATTTGTTCCCTCTTTCCATGGCAAACCCATCTTCATCAGCTCGCTCATCCGATTCCGGGCAGTTTACCTACTCCGACGGCTCCTACTTCCCCATGCCTTTTCATCTTCAGCAATCTGCTTCCGCGACGCCGTCTCACTATGCTGCGCCTTATGTGGCGGCGTCACCGGCGGTGCAAATTCCTCCTCAAGCGCCTACCGCCGCTGTGCCCGGTGTTTACGCTTATCCACAGTATCAGCAGGCGCAGCAGTTATTTCAACGGGATGCACAGACAATCACACCCGAGGCTCTTGAGAATGTCAAAGCAGCCATTGCTAACAGCGAGATCGAGCACAAGGCAGAGACAAAAAAGAAATCAATTCCTCGCAAAGCTGCAGGGCAATCATGGGAGGATCCTTCGCTGGCAGAGTGGCCAGAGAATGATCATCGGCTGTTCTGTGGTGATCTTGGTAACGAGGTAAATGACGATGTTCTTTCGAAAGCTTTTTCACGATTTCCTTCGTTTAACATGGCCAGAGTTGTAAGGGATAAGCGGAGTGGAAAAACAAAAGGCTATGGATTTGTTAGCTTCGCGGATCCTTCTGACCTTGCTGTTGCTCTCAAAGAGATGAATGGTAAATATGTCGGAAATAGGCCGATCAAATTGTGCAAGAGCAAGTGGAAGGAGAGAACGGATTATGAAGCTCTAGAGAAACACAAGAAACAATCTCGCAAGAAACCGAAACCTTCCAAAGTGGGTGTATTACATTACTGAGCGACCCGCCAGAATTTCTGACACTGGGGCTGAAACGAAATTGCACAAGCTGTATGAATTACTTCAATGTTTAGAAGTTCCGTTATTTCTTGTCTTCTTCGTTTTCCCCCTGTTCCAAGTTTATATGCAATGTTCTTTGCTGACTTCCCTTTGGTAACGCCCCTCAATCATACGGATGAGGTGAATATTTGAGAATAGAATTTGAATTGCCTACTCTAATTTTGTTTCTTGGTTTGGGTGATTCTGATTTAGTTTAGCCACTTGTATGCTGTCCAACTCCAACGCAGTGTCTTCTTGCTGGCGTGGTATGCTTTTTGTTTCCTTTCGTTTTGATCTGTGCTATTGGATCCCCTAAACAGCGTAAGTTTCATCTCCTGTTGTTTTTTGAATGAGAATTACACTAGATTGCTGATTTCAATTTCTGGTTAAAGGCTTAAAAGTTGTAGACATGCTTTCATACGATGAGAGCTTAGCTAGCAGAGTGCTTCTGCATATTTCATTAAATGATACATAAGCCGTCTTTTTGATCAAGTTTGCACCACTTCTGTGAAATTCAAAAAACCACACATAGCAGCAACGCGGTTGAGCTCTCATTAAAAATGCATAGGAGCAACACCTCTCACGATGACCCGTGGTCTGTCTTCAAAGTTCCAATCGAGGAAATGACACTCTTCCAGTTTGACTACATTAATAAGCAAGGTGCTTGAGACTGAACCCACAGTGATTTTGATCCCGTGCAAACGATGGATTCATTCTCAATAACTAGTATCATATCATTGATTTCAAAAGTCAAGGATCCTCCAGAATTTTGATGCATAGCATGTGTTGTGTATGCTCGAGCGGCTCTCCTCGTTCTGTATACTTGGTTGTAGTCATGCAATTGTAGTAGTCTAGGGTGAGGTTCAACCAAGAAGAGGTTTATGGTGAATATCTAGGCACCTAAAGACAAGGAAAGGCTAGTGAGTGATAAAATGCTGAGGTCGGAATCTACTTGTCGAGCTATTGGTGAAGCGATGTTGAAACCAAAAGCGATACTTCTAGTAATCTCACATGGAAGAACAAAATGACAAGCTTTTTGGTATGAAATACGGTGTTTATAGGATGGAACAGGATTGGAATACCTTCGTCCTGTGTTTCGTTTCAAAAAAATCAAGACTGAATTTTAATCCCATGCTTTGTCCCATCTTGTTAGGAGTTGGGATGAGATTGGAATAAAATCGGGACGACTTGCCGTTCTGATAAATGGGATAATACAGAGAAAGATTAGAATAACAACATTTATTAAAATTTTAAATTATATAATGTATTACGTATAAAATCAAAATAACACAAGTACCTAAATTACAATAATTTAAAATTAATTATTAAATTATATTAATCACAATTACACATTATAATAGCAAATATAAGTGATCTTTATGTTATAAGAGTAACAACAATAGGCAAGTCAACCACAATATCAAATCATTGTTTTGCTTCAATGGAGATGTATTAAGTTAATTACTTTTTTAAAAATAAAACAAGAAATGCGTTATAAATAAAAATTATTAAATATATAAATATAAAAATAAATTATATTAATATATTATAAAGAAAGATATTATCATGTCTACTTCATGTCATTAAAATTATCAATATAAAAAAGCTTTAGTTTTAAATAAGAATTACAAGTATTGAAATTATAATTGATATAATTAATATAGGTGTAAATTATATTAATATATTTAATATATTTAAAATAAAAAATATATATAATATTCAGGATAAGATGAGACGTCCCGATTATAATCTTGTGTTTTGTCCGTCCCGAACTCCTTTCTATCCCATCTCGTAAAGTTCCATCTCAATTATTTTCAGGTCGAGATAAGACCTATCCCGATATGATCGGGACGATACCAAGCCAATCAGAACGAGTCTAAGTTGAACACTCTTAGTATGAAATACAAGATATTGAAATCTCAGTTTTATATATGATTTGCTAAATGTGTTTCAGAGCTTTGAGGCTATGGTTGGAACAATTCAGATCTCTCACGACTCAAATTTCCTTGTTTAATTTTTACCCATTTTTATTTTTGTTTTAATTGAACTTTCATGACAAGCCGTTGAGAGAAGCAATTGTTTGTTAAAAATTAATATTACACTTAGCAAATTAAAATAACATATTTCTATACTCCTTTCATCCTTATATATAAAGATATTTTTAATTAAATCTCACATACTAATAAATGTTTGTTATTCAGTTAAAGTAACATAATAATAATTTTTCAGTTTTACCTTTAATGATATCATAATTAATATTATGATGGTAATAGAAAAAAAATATAATTAATGATTTATTATATTTTTCAAGACAATGGTAAAGTTATTTCATTATTTAAAAATATCATTGTCATCCTTTATATTTAGGGACAAAATAATTTTTAAATAACATTTTATATATAGGGATGGAGAGAGTAGGCTAAAAGAAGAAGAAAATCACACCTACTGCCAGATCAAAGAAATTCACACTTACGGCTCAATATTTTTTTGGTAAAAAAATTTTATTTGCTCCTTGTTTGAAAAAATAACAATGTATGCAAATTATATATAATAAATTAATATTATATTGTTAATGCATGGATCTTGTTATATTATATATGGATATTATATTATTATATATATAAAAAAACTTTTACATTATTATTTAACTAAATTAAATAAATTATGTATAATGAACGAATATTATGTTTATAGTATATATATTGTCATGTTATATAAGGATATTTTATTACTGATTTACTTGAAAAATTTGTACATTTCAAATGAGGGGCAAGTAAGTCTTTTCATTGTACATATTTGTATATAAGGCCTTTGAGCTTTTAGAATCAATTCAAAATTCATTGGCTTTAGATGCAATTTTTTTTTTTAATTTGAGGACTTTTGGTGCAATTCTCCCCTAAAAAAAACTAAGTTAACATATATTTAAGTATTTTATGTTAAAATAATTGTTTTTAAAAATAATTTTTACTTTCGAGGTGAACGGTTCCTTTCAATTGCAGGAAAAAATATTGCTCCTATTACTCTTTCAAAACACAAAATTCCTTTCGATAATTAGGAAGCACCTGCCTCTTAAAATTTTACGCAAACGAAATTCTGCTACTTACGAAAATTTCACTTTAGATGTCGATGGACTCATTTTGATTTGTTGAATGGCTAGTAAATATTTAAAATTTAAAATTTAATATATTTTATTTTTATTTTTTTTGGACAAATTAATATATTTTTTATTATACACACACATTGTAATATATCCCACTTATTAAACTCAAAAATCATAAGATGAACTGGACTCTTGTGCGTCGGCCCTCTTAGGATGTAACTCAGGGGTTGAGCGTAAATGGTGGAATTGGATCAAACAACTTCACATGAAGCCCAAGAACATCCATTTCAATCTCTCGTTCGGTTCCCACTTGCATTTCCGACTTCTCTCTTCCATTTCCATCCGCTAGCGAGACTTGAACGCAGCTATGGAGGTTGCCACCGCTTCATCGAGCTTTGCACTGAACAGTAGACCCATGTTAAAATCGCTGAACTCTTCTCGAATTGGAAATCCTGTGCGAGCGGTGTGTTGCAACTCCTCTTCTGCCTCCGTAAGAACATCTCTCTCCACCAACTTCATTGCTCCTTTCGTTGGCAGCAGCGTCTCTACCCTGTCCTCTGGTCACTTGCTTCGACCTTCTTGTCTGAATCCTGCATCGTTTCGTCATTCCAAGGGCAAAAGAGGGGTCTTCACCATGGTAAAGATTCAAGCTTTGAAACTTATTTTAACGGACGTTTTCGCTTACGTGGTTGGATGAGATTGACATGGCAATTGCATCAATTTTTACCTAGTAAATAGCGATACTTCACCAAGAGTATTAATTGATTCTGGGTAATTATAAGTTCTTTGGTGCTTTTGTAGAAAAAATTGAGCCTTTGGTCGTACCGGCTGGTTTTATTTTGCCAATTGCCATATGCATATAAGTGTGATTTTGGTAGTCCTAAATGTTTCTGGATGCCTAAGATTCTGGACCCACTTGTTTGAAATGGAATCAAATACATTGTTAATAGAAATTCTAAATGAAATTGTGGATTTAAAGTTCAGTATCATCCGGGTCGGGGATGATTGGACCGGACTCGGTGCGGAAAGTGATAACATTCTGCTATTTTCTTTTATTAAGATGAATAAAGAAATAGTTTTGATGATCATTATTAGCTGTATTGTTGATTGCTCTCTCTGCGAAATGAAAATCAATGAGAACCAACGACCAATCCAAAGTTCTGGCGTATTTAATCGTCGTATGAATGAAAAACTACGATATAGATTTATTTGTTAAATTAAGGACAGGTCTGGACTCTGCAGCGTTTGGACAGAATAATTTTGTATGATTGGTTTTAGACGTTTGCACGGGTTTGAGAAGGGTAAATTGATTGCAATATGTAGCATGTGTCTCGAATTTTAACAGAAAGCTTGGGTTTTGAAGAGATGATCTTTGTTGGCGGCCAAAAAATGAAGGGATGATCTTTGTACTTGTTCTATCATGGCCAATGGGATGGGATTATTCTTGTGGCCTTTCCTTGATTTTCAGCACATAGTTTCTTTATTAATGTCTTCATTGTTTTTGTTTTGTTTGTGTTCTGTTTTTGACGATGATGTTTTGCTTTCCTTATTTATTATATTCTTCTCTGCTTCTAGTAAATTTTCTTCTATCACGTCATTCATGGTGATGGTTGCGGCATCCCAAGTAAAATTGCATATTTTATATGATTCCTATGGGGTTCAATGTTGTCCACACCTAGCTTGTGTTATAGGAAAGTAACAGATGTAACACTTTTTTGCATGTCAGTGCATCATATGTACTACTAATATAACTCATGCTGGTTCTATGTTCTCGTATGTGTATGAATAGGTTATTCCTTTTTCAAGAGGAAGTGCATGGGAGCAACCGCCACCAGACTTAGCTTCTTACCTATACAAAAATCGAATTGTCTATCTGGGCATGTCTCTTGTTCCTTCTGTTACAGAGTTGATACTAGCAGAATTTCTATACCTTCAATATGAAGATGATCAAAAGCCTATTTACCTGTACATAAACTCTACTGGAACAACCAAGGTAAATCGTGTTTTATATGTTCTGCTTAGCATATGCTGCTTTAAACCCATCCAATAACATCTCTCTTTATAGTTTGATGAGCAAGATTTTTTTTTTTAATAAAAAGAAATTAATCTTACTAGTTACTACGTGCCTATGACTTACTGTAATTTGATTCCAAGCCTTTAGTGAGGTATTTATCTTAAAATTGTTGTGCATGACATTAGAATTCAAAATTTATGTTTGAATACAAAGAATTACATTATAGTGAAGACCAAATATTAAATTCAATTTTTATCGCATCATCATTAAGACCAAGAAGAATTTTCAAGGAAGTTATTTTATGGGACTTTTTGGTGAATGATATATTTAAAGAGTTGGTTATTGATAGAGCATATTGGCATGGTGCAAACTATGTAACCAGCCCCACTTAATCAGACAACGCTTGTTGTTACTGTTTCATTTAGATGATATTTCATTAAAAGTCAAAGAAAATAAATGCTTATTTCATTGTTTTTTCTCCTATTGCATTAAGAGAGTGAACCAGAGTGAAGGCGTCTGTTAATGAGCCTACTTTTCTCAGATAGCCAGGGTGTGACACAAAATTAGTTCTAGTTGTTACTTAGATTGACATGTTATTCTAGATTTTGTGATTAAACATGCTAGAAATGCGGTTGTCAATGGTTCTGAGACTATTAGATGTTGGTCTTGGTTTCTACTTTCCACTGTTAGAGGTTGAAAAACACTTATAATCATTTCTCTAATATAGTGCTGGCAGTGGCAGGAGTCTTTAGGTTTTTAAATATAAGGGGTGGTGTTTAACCATATTTATAACATTTAATATTTGCTTTCATCCTAGCTCCTTTTCCTTGCAAAAAACTGCAAAATATTCTCATAAGATGCTAGAAAAATGGTAGTATCGTACCTTAGTTTTCATGAAATGTGTGCCTTTTTGATACAATCTTTATTCCTTCTTTCAGGGTGGTGAGAAGTTGGGTTATGAAACTGAAGCATTTGCAATTTATGATGTTATGAGGTCATCCTCTCCATATTTTTCTATGATAATGCGTTTTATATTTTTTATAGCACTTTGAAATTGTGTTACTGTTTGTTTTCTTTAGAACACCTTGCTTGTAGTGGGTTTTAAAGTGACTATTTAGTTGGTGTTGATTGTTGTTAGGCAGTATTTTTTGTCAAATTTGTAAACTATAACAAGCCTGTTGCTTGAGTTTTATCTTGATTCACTTATCCTATGTATTCAACTTAATTACTCCACATCAAGGGTGGTTGTGAAATTATTAATTGTAATTTGTCATGAACTACGTAAATGAAGTTGATAAATAAGTCATGTCCATGGAAATTTCAACACATTGTCCATAATCTTGCTTTTGGCTGCCTGGCATGCCCTTCACTTCCCTAAGTATATGGTTTGCTTGACCATATTTATCGCCAAGTTTTGCCTATCAAGGTCCTGATATCTCACATTGATCCTATTGACTACAGATCTATCTGGATCATTGTGTCAACATTGGAATGTTACTATCAATTATTTTTTTTTTGTATGATGCAATTTTTTACGCTGCATAAATTGTTATTCTTCCCTTCACCCCCACCCCACCCCTTTAGGTGAAAGCAATTTTCTTTTTCTTGTGTTACATGCTTTGACCGCCATCCTGAAGAATTGCCTGCAGAAAGTTCGTGCTTACAAATTTAGTTGACTTCTGCTACAGGTATGTCATGCCTCCAATTTTTACTCTTTGTGTTGGTAATGCTTGGGGAGAAGCTGCCTTACTTTTGGCTGCTGGTGCTAAGGGAAACCGTTCTGCTTTGCCATCATCAACAATAATGATAAGACAGGTTCAAACTCATACTCTTTGTACAATTGAAGTTATTGCATGTCTTTATCTTTTATCGAAAAGACGTAACCATGTTTTCCTTGTTAATTTACAGCCGATTGCAAGGTTTCAAGGTCAAGCAACTGATGTTGACCTTGCTAGAAAAGAAGTCAAGAATGTCAAGACAGAATTGGTTAGAGCAATAATCATTTAGTTTTATTAAGACCAGGGTTGGGCCTGTGCATTTGCAGAGGTTTAAATGAGTTGCATTATTTATGGCTTATTAACAATACAACTTCCTACACTTTCTATGTTATATTGATATATTGGTTATGGTTACTGCTTTACATATCTGTTTGCATGGGTGCGCCCATGTGCGTATGTGGAGGTGGGTTGTGTTTGGGCAGGTGGGCCCATTCCATGCATGGGTGGGTGTAGGGATGAGTGCATGATGTGGTCATGTGTCCATGCATGAGTACGTGTGTCAGCATCTATTATCTATACATGACATTATCCTAACAACTTACAATGTCTTAATTTCCTTTTGAAGGTTAATTTATATGCAAAGCATATTGGAAAATCAACTGAGCAGATTGAAGCTGACATTCAGCGTCCAAAGTATTTTAGTCCTAGTGAAGCTGTTGAGTATGGAATCATAGATAAGGTTCTTGCTGTCTAAAAGTTAGATTTGTTTTAATTCATTTATCTTTCATGAAAATTGAAGATATACCATCTTCCACAGGTGCTATACAATGAGAGGGGCACTGAGGACCGAGGAGTTGTTTCTGACCTTAAAAGGGCGCAGCTTATTTGACTCTTGGAGAATTTGAATTTTTTCCTGGAGTTGTTAGGTAAAGCGCATGTGTTATAATTATCATATTAATTACTTATTTTAACTCCCAATATTGAGTTACTTTTTTAAATAAGAATTGTGTTATAGGAAGAGAGTAACTGTTTCCTTATAACCGACAAGTCTTTGGTACTTTAGGGTTCTTCATTATAACATTGCTATTTTACAATTTTATGTTCAGAAAGGCAGCAATCTGAGGCTAAGATTGGTCAATCAGGTGGTCACATGATTTCATGTTTACACTTGGCTACAACATTAATTGATGTTCTATGATCACCATACTTGGGAAGGAAACCCAATTTGTTGTTGTCATTTAATGTCATGCTCTTAATAAACTTGCCTAAATTATGACCTAAATATTAAGATTCTGACAGTGACATTCACAATCTCTCTGGTTTCTATTCTTTTCTATTCCGCTACTAGGTGCAAGCGTTGGTGGATTCTCAAATAGGAGGGCAATTGCTAGTTCTTTTCATGACCATACAATTTATGCAATTATTTCCCTCAACCAGCTAAGAAAGAAAGATGTGAGGGAGGGGACACGTAGAAAAGGGCGTAGCTAAAGTCGCTGATGGGTCTGTTTTGGTGTTCTGGCTTACACCTTGCACTTGCTATCCAGATGGTTCAGCTATGGGCACTAGTTCAGACTAAGAATGATTGTATTTTGTAGGTAGTCTTTGTTGTTGTGGCGCTGTTGGCTTGCTTTGGTTTTGCCTAACAACTTCACTGATTGTTTCAATATTCAAACACGTGTTAAAGCAGATGTGAGGACGTGAGACATTACAATTGTGAAGCTTGCACATATTCTGGCACTGTAACCTGTTTAGTGTTCTTTTGCATTGTCTAATATCAGTGGCATGACCCATGGATGGAGAGTGATGTCATCATTCTTGCCCAATGAGTCATTGTCTCTGTTCCCTCCTCTCTCCCTCCTCTTTCTGTCATTCCCCCTTCTTACTTTGGTTGGGAGTGAAAGAGGGTTCAATGGTGAAGAGTTATTTACTCAATCACATCAGTCTATGTAAGAACATAACATAAAAACAAATACAAAAAGCATGGACTGCACCATTCATGTATCTGTTGAAACAGGTCATGAAATTAACAAGTTGTGTGTGTTTACGTTTAGATCAGCTGAGATGGTACAAGTAAGTTTCAGCATTCTTGATATCATATTGGGGTTAGACACAGCGTATGGACTGCGCCAACCGCCAAGAGTGTTAGTGCGTGTTTGGATAACTTCTCAAGTTAAAAAATATATTCAAACAATTTTTTTATAAGTTAAAATCAATTATGAATTTAAAATCATGCTTTTTTAAAGATATCCAAACATCAATTATATATACTAAAATTAATTTTGAACTTAAAATCATGTGTTTTTTTTAATATTCAAACAATTTTATATATGCCAAAATCAGTTATAAACATAAAAATATAATTTGTAAAATAATTTATATGATTTTTAGATAAATTTTTAGAAAAGTATAATTAAAAAATACATAATAGTAACTTATGAAATGACAACTGTGATTGTGAGTTTATAATTAATTTTAACATGTATAAGAGTGTTTGAATATTTAAAAAAATATATGATTTTGGATTCATAATTAATTTTAGCATGTATAATGGGTGTTTAGATATTTTTAAAAAAATATGATTTTCAATTATTATTAATTTTAACATATAACATGAATGTTTGAATATTTTTTCATGAAATTATGATTTTATTTTATTTTCAATTCTGCTTTTTAATTTTGATTAAAATCAATCTTATTAATTAATTTTATAAATTAATTATATATCATATAATATAATTAATTATATTCAAAATCAATTATATTAATAAGTTTTTTATAATTAATTATACACCTTTAAGTGTAGCCACAGATGCACGCTGATACTCTTTCCCTTGTTAATATAGCGTTTGTAATATGTAACTGATGGAATGTGATAAAATTATTCAAAATAAAACTTTACAACACAGATATGATGATGTCAAATGACATATATGATCGCTGTTATATTACTTACTCTCAAGACATGATACACATGATAGGCGGTTGAAAGCTATATTTCCTAATCAAGTATCTTTTTTTTAAAATTATAAACAACTTAAAAGTAACAAATATGGTAATATTTAAACTTAATGAGCACTGAATATCTTTAGTTAGTGGGAAATTGCCAAGAATATTAAACATGCAACACATAACATGTGTCCTTAACACCTTATTTATAATGCTTAAAGGACCTTTTTTAAAATAATGTAACAGGCGTCTACATTCCGCTGGTTTGTCTTGCATGGATGGCGGAAGAGATATGCCATTTTCAGAGGGAAAATTAATCTTTTTAAATTAGAGTTCCTACAAAATCATATCAGAAAAGCACATGACCATTAGAGTATAATATTATATGTGTGCCATTTAGGAGAATGTAAATTATTTGCTTAAGAATTGGGTAAAAAAAGTAAATAAATTTCATGTTGTTTTTGGATTAATGGGAATTTAGAGCCCAATCTCATTTAGATGCAAGAAAATTCGTGGAAGTAGAAATTTATCTCTTATTATATTTTTTTTATAATTTTAAATTTCTTTTATATCATAATTATTTGAAATTCAAGCAATCCTAACTCTTGTGTTCTCTTTACGTTTTTATTATAGACAATTTTGTTAGTCTTGTCGCTTTTCTCATTTCACATTTTTGTCTCTTTTCAATTGAAGAAAAGATGTAAACTCCTCACTCCTAATTCATCGTTTTCAGTTCGAATCTTAAATTTCGTTTGGCTACAAAAAATAACGAGAATAGAATGAAGTAAAATAAAAATAAAAATAAAAATAAACTAATTATTCCTTTCTTACGTGATAATCATGATAAAAGTAGTCACTCTTAATATTCTATTTTTACTTTGAATCTTAGTTTGTCTTTAACTTTTCTTTGAATTTTTTACAGCATTTAAACAAATAATTTTAAATACATAAATTTTAAATATAATTTAAAATATAAAATCCAAATCCAAATGTATTTGTAATACTATTGATAAATGAAGTAAATGCATAAAAAACTCAATAAAATATTAGGTTAAGAGACAAAAATATTTTAAAATTTTTTTTAAAGAAGCTATCAGCATGTTTACCTTTAAAAGAAGCAATATTTTTTAAATTGTTTTAAAAAGAGTACAGTTTTATCCTACCATCAGCCTTGACCGTTAATTCTATACTTTGACCAATCACTTTTTCATACGTCGTTCTCTCCTCCCTTGAGCCATTCTTCTCTCAGTCAAGGAGCCTGTCAACCCACAGAAGGAAGAACTCTTTGCCTTCTGGAAGCCATAAAGAGGCAATTGCTGTCGGCCAAGACCCCATCACCATGAGAGAGGCAGAAAACAGTGGACCTAAGCTTATAGGAATGCTCATCCTCAATGGGCCCAAAGCACTGCCGATGATTAAGAATCTGAAGCAAGTTTTCAATTTCATTTTGTGACCCATCAAACAATTTAATTTCCTTTTCTTTACAAAACAAAATTCACATTCCCAAATTTTTCTCTTAGTCTCCTGAATTTTCTTGGGAAAATCAAACCATTGGAAGTTCAAACAAGTTTCGAAATTTTCACCTTGGAGTTGAACAATCTCTTACAGTGAAGAATGACGCTTTAGATCCCATCGTATTGCAGCTGCAATGTATTGTCGCTCCTTCTCGCTGGATATCCAATCATTCTTAGTCTAGCCAACAAAAAAGTAAATAGTCAACGTGAGTTTAGATTAACAGTGGATTAGAATTGCACCTTTTTTTTTATTTTTAAGGTAAAATTGCTCCTTTTAAAATATAAAAATACTCATAGTTCATTTGAAAAAATTTTAGGGACATTTTCATCCCTTATCCCTAAAATATTTAGTTTTTTTTCCCTTTAAAAATATGAGAATGTACAGTCTGTTGATAGGAACACGCTTTGAAGAAGTGACGTCAACAACTGCAATTTCTGGTGAGGAGGCTCCAAGTGGTCGGCCACCATTAGCAATCACCTACCACCTCCTTTCCTATGCCTGCTTTACGCTTGTTCTTGGTTATTATTATTGTTCACTAAGTGGGAAAAAAATAATTTTATAACTCTTATTTTTAGATAAATATTATTAAACAATAAGAATATAATAAATAATATGTGTGTATGTATTTTATATATAATTGAAAGTATCTTTTTAAGAGATACTCCCTTCGTCCCAAATTATAAAGCACTTTTAAAACAGTTTCTCCATCTCAAAATATAAGATACTTTGAATATATTAAGTTTTTATTAAATACACCAATTTTAAATTTACCCTTTTTCTCTTTTTATAATTAATTTTTATCCCTTTTTTTTAATATATTAAATGATGTGCATTTTTGAAAGTTTATATTTTTATTTGAAAAGATAATAATGTTAAGTGTATTTAATTATGTTTATTGGTATATAAAATTTTATCTAAAATTATCTTATAATCTGATATAGAGTATTATTTTTTATCAAAATTGAATGAGAAAATCACTTAATGTGAGAATTTGCCAAGTGGTGGATTTTCCCATGTTTGAATATCATCATTACATTTAGTTCGAAGTAGAGACATTAATAAGAGGCATGATAGTCCCTCCAATTCAAAATATTTTTCATTTTAGGTTATGTATTCACATAAAGATACTCGTTTTTAATAGGCTAGATATAAAGATATTTGACAAAAATATTCTTATTTACTTTATTTTTCTGAGCAAACACTTGAATCAAAACAGAGATATTTGGCTATCAACATACCATTATTTTTAGGATGAACTAATAATGGGGAATATTTACTTATATCGATTATTACCAATTCTCCAATCAAATCTCAACACATGAATTGTTGGTGAAAGATATATATTTCGAAGCAAAATATATAAAGAGAACAGGATGAAAGTAGAGAAAAAATGACACGACGAAAGTTACAAAAGTAAGATGCGTGAGCCCGACATGGTTTTGGGTTGACAAACACCCGCATAAATATTTCCCAACTATATAGAAAAAACAAATTGGAATTTTCTTCCTACAAGTCAGTGGGGCTGAAGAGCCAATTGTATGAATTTATTAATTAGGAATTGACACGAGGAAGACCCATACATATCCTTTTTTAGATAGTGCGTTACAACCAAACGTGGCTGCTAGCCAGGATATTTATCATAGGGGTTGCAATAATAATATCTACTTGCTTATACCTTAAGCAAGCCCTTTGGCTTTGACTTTAACTTCAAATTAAACTCAACTTACACTCCAAACTACAAACACACGTCCCAGCTTCACACGCTAACAACAATTAATGGCTTTGGGCCGAGGAAGATGGTTATTCCTTTCGTTCTTACCTCTTTAACTTGTGGTTTTGACCGACAAACTTCTGATAACGACTAGTGTGTGTGTATTATTCAATAATAATGTTGCATTCAAAAGGTATCATCAAAAGTATTAACATTAATGGGTTGGTTCAAAAGTTATCCATTTCTCCTTTTCAGAATCTGATGATCAGGTAAGGAGAGGACGAGCCTGAGGTCTAATGAATTTTGAACGCATCAGCTCTGCTAATTTGTGATTTAAGATTTGAAATACTTTTTCAGGATTGATTCTTCTTGTTTACACAGTTTCCATTCTACATTGTCTGCGTATCATGGAGTTAATTATAATTATAAAAAACAAAAAAAGGGGGGAATATGATATGACAGATATAAATAAAAAGGTTTGTAATTTCACAGTTATGCTTGTAATGAAAAATAAAATCTTTGACAGGAGAGAGAGAGTAAAGGTTATAATTTCTGCCCAAGTGTACCAGGCTTACAGGTTAATTATTTGACCTTTTATTTCTATATTTTACCTAATTTTCTATCCGCTCATTCATAAATGAGTGTGTAGATATTTGATTGCATTTTGCTTAACTTTCACAGAATAAAGAACCCAACGATTACAATTTAAAGTATGTAAAGGTGATAAACTTTAGGGTATATATGCCTAACGACGCATAACTAATCAAATACTGAGCATATGATCTCTTGATGAGTGTCTTCCACCGTGCATGAACAGGTCCTACACCAATTATGAGAAGCAGAGCGTCTAACAATACCAGTATTTTATTTTCCTTTGATGAAAATATCCCCATCAGGATTTTAGACATCCTTTAAGTCGAGGGTTCATGAATATCCCCAGAAAAATGCCGAAATTGTACGAATGAAATTAGGCGATTTAGCATTATATTATAATCTCTCATCCACATGTAAGAATCAAAGACCAAATCGCGAGTATTAAAAATAGTAGATGGAGTAACTGGGCAACTTTTCTTCTTGTAACAATTAATAAAGCGATCACTTGGAATGTATATTATATATAATGGCCAAGAGAGATCAGCAAATGTTAATATTAGGGTCTATACGAATGGCAGAGAGAGGTCAATATGTTAATTAGCTAGGCCTGTTCAAAACTATATTTATTCTAATGTTAAGCTAGAGACCTAACTGTGCAATTAGAGTGTACATGCATGTACCCATCATTACTCCAATCCAATCCAGAGCCCTGAGTGGAAGGAAAAGTTGAATGCCACCTTAGTGGCCTGTGCACTACATGGCCTCTCTGCTATAAATAACACACCACATCTTTGCTTTCTAACCCATGAACACATTTCTTGTTCTCATTCTCACTTCATATACACCAAAGTTTCCTTCTTGCATTGAATTATTCTCAGTTGCTCTTCTTAGCTTAAGCCTTTGAATTTGGCTTTTAGTGATGGAACTTCATTCTAAATACCAAGTAGGCCTTGTGTGCGTGATTATGCTCTTACCTGCACTATGTACCTCCCAAGACTTCACAAGCTCCAGATCTACCTATTATGGTAGCCCAGATTGCTATGGAACTCCAAGTACGTATAACCCATGCATGGAAATCCTTTTCTTTTATTTCAATCCATGAAAGAGTTAGCCTAGTGGCTAAGATGGCCTTGTTCTGCAGCAAGCTTGCATGATTTTGGTTTGAACCATAAGGTCCATGACCCTTGACCGTGCATGCAGGCTAGGATATATTCCCATGTAAAGGGGAAAAGCTAATAGGAACTTTTAGGCAGGCACATGGCTTTTTGTTATTTTGAGAATTTTACTTTCATTTCCTCTAAAGTTAGGAGAAAATGGAGAAAAGCTAGCTCACTTTACCAATACCACTTCTAAAATAAATGGGTCCACTTTTGTAGCAACACACACACACACACACATCCATACGATTTTAATGACGAAATTAATGGTTATATGTGATTAGGGGGAGCTTGTGGATATGGCGAATATGGAAGGACTGTGAACGATGGGAGTGTTGCAGGTGTGTCTGGGCTTTGGAAGAATGGCTCCGGATGTGGTGCTTGCTACCAAGTATGTGTGTGTGTGTGTGTGTGTGTAGATCTCTCTCAAAGCACCTCCGTATATGTAAAGATATGTGATTATTGAATATTCTAAATTTTATGGAATGATGGGCTACAGGTGAGGTGTAAGAACCAACAATTGTGCGATGAATACGGGACGTACGTAGTGGTAACAGACTACGGTCAAGGAGACAGGACGGACTTCATAATGAGTCCACGTGCGTACTCCAGAATGGGACGGAATCCGGACGCATCAGACGAGCTGTTCAAATACGGCGTCGTTGACGTGGAATTTAGGAGGGCCCCATGTAAGTATGGCGGCTACAACATAGTCTTCAAGGTCCAAGAGCACAGCAGATTCCCCGACTACATCGCCATTCTCGTTCTCTACGTGGCCGGCCAAAACGACATCACCGCTGTTGAGGTGTGGCAGGTAAGTGATCATGACACGACAAATTAAAACTGCCCTACTTTGCTTCACGAGTTTATCATACTCTCTTCTCTGGAAGCCCATGCATTTCTGATATGAACCATATATACTCAGAGGAATTGCAAAGAATGGAGACCCATGAGAAGGTCCTACGGAGTAGTGTTTGATGCAGAGAACCCGCCACGTGGAGAACTGATGTTGAGGTTTCAGGTGAGTGGACGTGCAGGTGTTTACTGGGTTCAGTCCAAGAATGTTATTCCTAGCGATTGGAAGGCTGGAGCTGCATATGATTCTCAAGTTCAGCTTGATTAGATCCATCTACAGCACAAGCATGAAGGAACAGGCTATATAACTACTTATTACTGCTGGAGTTGGGGTTGCTTTGAGAATGTCAAGTTAGTTGTTTGTGAGTGAGTGCTGAGTCTATTGGGGTTCTCGTGTGTACTTTCCAGTTGAGTTGGAGCTACTGTTATTAGTGTTAGTGTTAACATATAATATATGAATAAAGAACTCATCAAATATATATATATATATATATATATATGAATAAAGCAACCCTCTTTGTTCTCATCTATATTTGGCTGCTTCCTTTCCTTGGCTTCCACTCCCGTGCCTTGAAATTGGTTGTTTGTCTGATGGCGACGCCTATGAGTGGCCGAGTATTGTACTTCCTGAGGGTTACTTTTTTTAATTAATGGAATATGCCTTCAATGAGCCAGAAAAAAAGTGTTCATTAGTTCTCACCAAACGACTCTGACATTGCCGAAACAATCATTGCAAATCCATGATCTTAATTAGTTTTTGTCCCATACGTATAAAGGATTGGCCTCTCGGTCATTGTGAAAAGATCATTGAGTTTTCCAGGGGTTGGAACATTACAAAGCCCTGTAAAAATTCGTTCAATCGATTTTCATTAGAGCGTGAATTTGAATCGTGTTGTTAATATAAATATTTTGCTGATGTGTGATTTGTAAACACTCTCTAGAGCATGAACTATGCCTTCCAGTGTTTGAGCTACCCACCAATGATGCTGAGGCTTCCATTCAAATCTCAAGGATTGACAGATTTGAACTCCAAAATATAACCTCCTCCTATATTCACTCAATATAAAAAAGATTAGCATAATTACCACATCACAAATCAGCACAATAATCAAATGTTTTATTTAAAAAACTTTGGTCAAAAACTTGTTTGTAAGACCATCCAAAATCATATCATATTAGAGAATACACAGTAGAAGCAAATCACACATTTATATAATATATAGTGGATATAACTAACTAGTATTCCTATTTCAATTACATGAATTTAAAATCACAAAATTAGGTTGGGAATTGGTTCGTGCGTCACAGCGTGTAGTATATGTGCCATGGCATGTCTGTTTGAATTTCTGCTATCATTTTGATAGCAAAATGATGAACTTTCAATATGCGTTATTTTCACATACGACATCCGATCGAAATGTGCCTATACAAAGCTTAGTTCATAAGCTAACTAATGAGATAGGTTTAGATACGATTTACTAGTTCGATCAAAATTTGAACACCTGGATGCAAAAAGCCATTTATTTTAAAAATTTCACACACTCAAACACTCAAATCGATCTTTTTCTCTCATTAGACCCCATAAGGTCTTAAATCAAGTTTAAAAAGACCTAATATACCTTATTGACCATATTATATCATAATTGTATATATATATTGAAATTTGACCTCGTTAATTTTCACATTTCACAAATTTTCACAAATTGCCATCACTTGGCATAACCTAGCCCACTTGATCTTTTTCTTATTAGAAACATATACATTATATTCATAACACATATTGTAACATTCCAATTTAAATTTTTAATAGTTAATTTGGGTTAATAGAAATTTTGGAGAATATTTAGAAGTAAGTAAATTAGTAGGAGATGATTATTAGATCTAACTGAGAATATAATTCTGAGTTAAAATTTTAAAAATTATTATTATTATTATTATTATTATTATTATTATTATTATTAGGAAAGAAGAAAGAGAAATATAATAAAGAGAGAGAATGAGAAATGGAATATAAATATACATGTGTGTGTGTAGAAATAAAAAGCAAATTAAAAAAATAGAATGGAAGGGGCGGACGTTCCGCGTGCTGTGATTACATACATATATACATTAAAAAAAAGAGAAAGGAAAGCGAAAGGAGTGGGACCCACACTTTTTTTTATAAACTCTCACACACCCTCTTTTCTCATTTTCCTTTCATTTCCTTTCTCTTTCATGTGCGAACAGAGGGTGCATCTGCAAGCACCATTTCGTCGGTGCTGGGGGCTACGTTTTTGAAGGTAAGAGTTTTTAATAAGATATTTAGGGTGTAATTTCAAACGTTTTAAGATTAAGTAAGTGTTAAATTTTTTCTTAACTATCCTTCCTCTTTGGTTTCATATTTTGTGATGGTAAAAAATCTAGAGTTTGGAAGAGAGATGAATTTATGTTGAATAAATATGATTGTTGAGGTTGTTAGTGGTATAATAAATATTCTAGATTATAAATTTATTAATGAATTTGAAATTTGAGGCTTATGGATCAAAGCCTAGGCTAAATTTTTGTTAAATCCGAAAATATATGTTGATTTATTGAGGTTTAGATGATTATTTAGGATGAAAAATGGATTATTATGGCTATAGAATGATGATTCTAGCTTGAGACTCAATTTCTAATTTTTAAGTATTTTAGGTGCGAATTTATGAAATAAAGAGGAGTTAAAAATTTTATTTAATAGTACTAACTCTAGATTTGTATTAAGATTGAGATTAAGAATTATGTTATATTCTCTAATCCTATTATTAGAGTTATTTTATTAGTTTAATAATTAAAACTAATATTTATAAATAATATGTTATTTGTAGATTGTGTTGTTGGTGAAGATTGTGGTGGAAGAAAAATTATAAGGAATAATTTATTAAAAAGTTATAAGATAACTATGCTTTTAATTTGTGCTTAGTGTTGTTTCATGTAAATTGGGTGATTATTGAGAAAATTATGAATTGTTGTTGAGAAATTACCTTGTTATATTTATGAAAAAATTGTAAAATTGTGGATTTGTATTTTGAAGTATTTTTGTCAAGTGGAATGTCATGTTGTAATATTGTTAAAAATAAAAAAATTGTGAAGATTGTAATATTGTATAATTGTACAATATTGTTATGAATTTATTTGATTAGTGTGGGAAGTGTTGGGAGACTTGTTTTTGTTGTTATATTTATATGCCACGTGGTACGCCCCTATTGGAGCCCAATAGGTGGCTTGTAAGGGCTCGGGCTAATATAATTTTGGTCGGATAATTTAGCACCGAGTCAGGATTACGGCTCGAGATTAATGAAAGGAGATAAGAATGGTTGTTTTTTATGCATTGTAATATTTCTTTTATTTTGTTAGAATTATATTACTGTTGTTTCCCCACTTAGCAAGCACACATTTAACTGTTTGTATACATATCATAATTTGACATTAGTTACTGAGACTTTTAAGTCTCATTATGTGGTTAACAATTTTCAGGAGAAGAGCCATGAGTGGTGTGTGGAGGAGTCCCTGATGCTTAATGGCATAAATCCACTGTCCTTTTGAGTATTTGATTTATGATTTTTAATGTGTTATATTGCCAATACTAGGGCTTTTCTTTATTGACAATTTATGAATGTAAAAATGTAATCATGTCTTTCAAACTATTTCTACTTTCGGTACGCTCTGGATGATTGTAACTTTGATTTATTTTGGATGGTTTGAAATGGCATGATTATGAGGCTAAATAATTGGCTTATTTTGGAATTGATTAAGTTGTTAGTTATTAGTTTATGGTTTGCACTTGTTCGGAGTATAAGGATGAAAAATGTGGTTTTAACCTAATGGCATGTGGGAAGTAAACATTTATCTGAGATGTTCTATTGTACAAGCTTAAGCCAATTATAACATGTTTTATATTGAATTTATTGATATAAAATGTCTTCGGTGGCTGTAACCTAACTATAATTGTAAATATATGTTAGTTGTATAAAATTATTTTGTATTATTTAAACAGGGGTTTAATCTTTTCTATTATAGTAGTGTTTTAAATTATAGAATTGTTTTAAAAAAAATATAGGACAAGTTGACTTCTGTTTATCATGTAGACACTTTTCTGCCATGGTTGAGTTAAATTGTTTTTGAAAAAAAAATTTAGGGTGTTACACATATACTATTCAATCTTAGCTTCAAATTACTTATTTCATCATAATTTCTCACTTGAGCTTAAGATTCACTAATATCAACAACAATTTCAACACAAACATGCTCAAATTAAAGCTCTCAATTCATTTCATCACATATACATACAATTTGGGTTAAGATTCCCATGAAATCACTACTCAAGTTATGCATGCAACCCTATAACAACTCATTTACACATATATATACAAGTTTCTTAATTCATTACACAATCTCAGAGTATACAAAGCTTCAACAATTTAAGCTGGTCTAGACTCTCTTTCGTTGCCCTGATCACTACCTTGCCTTGTAAACATGTAATTAGGGGGTGAGATAAAAATTTCAGTAACAGAATAACTCACTTCCATCGATAAAATTAAAATATATTATATCATTTAGTATAACATACAGCATATTCCATTTTCAATTTACAACCACATGTATCCATACATCACTTTTCACCACTTTCTCACTTATAGTAACATATTACATCACATAGCATTTCATAGCATGATCACTATTGACCAAACCTCTAAATCACTCCGATACGAAATCATAGGCTTGCCTTAGACTGTACGCTCTTATTGGCCCTGAGCTCACCTTTAATGGTATAATCACCTGGCTAAAGGTGTTCTATCTCACTCTTAGACTATGGTTTTCCCTAATACATACAATGGGGTATCGTTGACTCCAACACTATATCACACAAACATTAAGGAGTCTCAAATCTCCAACACCGTACCTTAATAGGCAATAAGGAGATTTTCTCCAACACCGCACCTTAAAAGGCACTAAAGAGATATTTCTCCAATGCTGCATCTCATCGGGCACTAAGAAAAATATGCCATAAGATCTTATAACCACCTCTCCACTCAGATAAACTTCCACCTTTATGATTATACTTTTCGAATTATATAAGTTCTCATTTTCACTTTACATGTTTTTCTCATATATAACACACACACACACACACACATACAACATATCATTTAAAACCACTCATTTTAATGTTTTTTTTTCTATCAAAAGCTATTTCATGCAACATTCACACAATACTATAAAAACATATTTAGCTCAAAACACTTTTATATGCTACATAGCATACTAACACACAATTATAATAAATAGTCAAACAAAGAAAGTTATTCAGTTACCTCAATCCTTTTGTCACTAGAAAGGTTACCTGTGAATTTCAACTACCACTATAGCTTATCTCAAGCTTCCTTTCTCTACTCACACGTCCAATATGCCAATCTAAACACATTTAGCATATTTTAATCATTTAATCTATTTTGATTAAAAACTCATATTTATTACTTAGGGCTATATTCATCCATAAACTCTTTTTCATTTTAAGTCTATTGTCACTCAATTACTACTTACATCACCTCAACTGATCTTATTTTACTTAGATCATATTCTCACCCCTTTCTCTCTCTAACCTAGGGCCAAATTGAGGCTACAGGTTTGAAGCTCTATTGTTCAACTCTAAACCAGTCACAAAACTCTAATTTAACTTTTGAGAACTTTTTTATTATTATTGAGCAAGAATCAAACCTCTCAAAATCTGCCAATTCAATTTTTATATGATTTATTCTTAGAGAAATTTGTATAGAATAGAAGGTAAGAGTTATACGTAACTTACCCGCTAAGTTACCAATCAGAAACACTTCCAATGACTTAAAATAGCTTGCCGTAGCTCCTCTACCCTTCTTATTCCCTCTCGTGTCTTTTCAAATTTTTCTTTCTAAAAATCACTCAAATTTCATGACTTAAGAAGTCATTTTTTAATTCATGCGCCGCGGTACAGGTAGCACAAGCCGCAGTGTGTGGCACAATGAGATTTATTCTCACTACACGCACTTGCTTCAACTCGAAATGCACTCCTTTTACCCGTACCTAGTCATATAACATTTCAATTAGCCAAATTATCAAGTAATCATTCAAATCTCTAATCCCACACTAATTATCACTTTACTTTCAATTAATAGCTAACCTTAGGACTAAGAAATTTAAAATATTACACAAGACATGAGGCCGCAAACGCAAGACGGACTCCAAAGAATAAAGTATGAGACAGACTTGGTAACCCTTCAGGGTATTTAGGTCTTTCTAAGTTTTTTTGTTCAGAAAATGTTTGACGTTGACAACCATTGAATCCGAGTTCATAAGTTGCTAAGATGGGCTTAAGATTTGAAATGTTTTTGGGCGGCTTGGGTCAAATAAAATGGGCCAATTGGTTTCGGGGGGATAAAAGGGGGTGTTATTTGGATGGAAATACTAGAAACAGCCAACCGAGTCAACGGTGCTACCAGCCCAACACTACTATAAATATCTACGCCCATATTAAGTTGAGTTTAATGGATTGAACTGTATCATCACTCATTAATTTGATGGGTTTGGTCATGGCTTCGTTTAATTCGAAATATTTTTCTTAAAAACTTATTACTTGACTCTCTTGACTTGGACAAGTAAAATAAACAAGTTATATAGATTAACTCGTTTAACGTGTACCATGATATTGAAAAAATAACCCTGATTTTAAAATCTTTGAAACCTTGCATACTATATACGTTAAATCCATTATTTCACGGTGAAAATAGATATATTAGTGTTGATGATGACACTATTACTACATAACAAGACTTAATATTATTGAAGAGTTTAATTAGAATTCTGTTGCAATCTTTATGTTGTATTCTTAAACTTTGAAGATCACTTAAATAATTCAAGACAATAGAATAGCTATTTTTATACAATACACAACACATTGAATATATATATATATATATATAGAATCATACATTTTTCTTTTTTTTAATTTTATTTTTTATGGATTAAAAAAGTAGCCCGCAAAATTAGGGATAAGAGCAATGACTCTGGTCTTTGTCATATATTGACATTGGCATCTATCTTCTCATCTTCTCCTTCCGGACAGTCTTCTCACGTTTCATGTTGCTATTATCGTACTCATATACGACCTATACGTATGAAATTTGAACCACCTAACCATGCCATCAAGTATTGATATCTAATATATCAAACAATAAACCAAACGAATGGATTAACTAACCACTGAATCAAGTAACCAATATAATAGAGTCGTTTGTAAACTACGTGTGTATTAGAATTAAAGGTAACGTAGAAGAGAAGAATTCGCAGAAAAAGTCTAAATATATTACTAATATTTGGATGCGCACGCGCGCGCATATATATATTCAACAAAGCCAGCTTCGAGTTTTCTTACAGACCCATTCAATTTTTCTGCAATATTACCAACTTCCATCCATCTCTCTTCAATACTAGGATAAGCTTATTGCATGCCACGTTAGTCTATTCTCGACCAATTTAAAAAATCGTATTCTTATTTTTAATAACTCACCTGCTCACGACCGAGTATCGATTTTATATATATACACACACATACACACACACGATGCTTGTCTTTGTTAGTCTACCCTCATTCTTTATTAAAAAAAAAATGGTACAATGTGAGCATTGATGTCCTTTAGAACTCGATGGGGCTACGTTAATTAGTTGAGCATGGCTCAAGATTTCATACACTATTCAGGATTGGTTTTCCATTGTTTTATATGATCTGTCTGCGGAGCATATCATTATCAGGTCGGATTTATATATACAGAATGAAAAAGCGATAAGGCAGATTAGATAAATAATATAAAAAAGAAAAAAAATTAGTTTCGATTAGATTGGATAAGGTAGATTAGATCATTTGATGGGATACAATATTAGATTTTTTTTTTTGGTCAAAGGGGTACAATATTAGATAGAGTACGTGCAAAGGTAGTTGTTAATTAACTAGTTCATTGTATCATCATATATCCCTTTAGCTTCCGGATTCTAAACGTCATGGGAGAGAGTAGTAAAGGAAAAACGGTACTGTAAATAAGGAACAAAACTATTCTAAAACCTTGGTAAATAAATGTATTTAGGTGGTTATTAAAAATTAAAATTGAAATTACTGAGTTAACATTCATACAAAAATTTAAGACTTATTTTGTCTTCACCAAGAATGCTTAAATCTTAAAAAGTTGAATATTGTCTTTGACTAGCTGTGATATTCAGAAGTTAGGTGTTGAATCATTGAAACTCGTAAAATTTTACACGTTAAATTTCAATTAACCCATCTCAAAACAAGAATGTCACTTACCCCATCTTATAACAAGCACACTTTAATAAGTTGCAAACCTAGCTAGAAAGGTCAATTGCAGGCTTTAGCGATTCAAGAGTAATTTAATTTAGTAATTTCTTGTCACTTAAGAATATTAAATTCTTTATCGACATTTTAGAATGTATTGATATGATTTTTATCCGGAACAAATTATCTATTTTAGGCTTTGATGACACGAAATTAATCAATCACTGCAATCTAATATAAAATTTATAAAAAGTTTCATCGGTAAATATCATAATAGTATGGTTCATTTTTAATATGCATTGTCAATTTTAAATAATAAAATATTTTTATAATATTGTTCTTTAAATTATTCATAAAATTCAAATCCATGACATTAATTAATACTTAAAACCTTATTTGATCTAAAATATAAGGCATTTGATAACTTTGATAATTATTCAAAAACTATGAATTAATTACCTATTCTATCCATCCTTATATATAAAGTATTTTTAATCGAATCACGGATATCAATAAAAATTTATTATTTAATTGAATTCACATAAAAATACAATAATTTTTCAGTTTTATCTCAAATAATATTATAATTATAATTAATATCATGGTGGTGATATAAAAAATATACAATTAATGATCTATTTTATTTTTTAAAATAAAGGTAAAACTATTTAATTACTTAAAAATATTATTGTCATCTCTTACATTTAAAAATAAAAAAATTAAAAAATATCTTTAAAGATGAAAGGAGTATGTTATACATTGTGGTTTAGATAGAATATATATACAATCCAATCATTATCTGTAGTAAGTTGTGTTAGTAGTAATACATTTCTGAAATTAATGTACTGGTTGCACACAAACACACTTCCTCGTCCGTTGATCTTCCTGTACAAAACAAAACAAAACAATGGTACCGCACTGACAGGCAATTTGTCATTATATCCATAAACAGGCGTTTTACTATTGCTTGTCATTTCAGAAGCATTTTCAGTAATGTGTAAATAACGTACTAGTTTTTTAAGATAGAGTACAAAGACCGATGTTAGTTCAATACTTATCAATATATATATATATATATATATATATCCCTTTAGCTTCGTGACTCTAAAGATTAAACGTCAGTGGGGTCGGGAGAGGCGAGAGAGCGAATACGACATTAAACGCGCCTTAGGGTGCGCTTAAGAGAAGAAAAGGAAATGACATTTTCAAACCTTGTGATGTGCATTAATTATGATGAAATATCATAAAATCTAGAAATTTCAGAGGAAGGCACGCAAAATATCAAGATGCATTTTTTCTCATTTTTTGACCACCTCAAAGATCAAGACGCTAGGGCCTGCATTCCAATCCAATCCGAATGAAGTTTGAAAAACCCCCCTTTCAATGCATGCACGAGGCCTCCATTATAACCTATAAATACCACCCACGTCTTTGCATCCCAAACCGGTGAAAACCAAGACTTCACATCTTATTATAAAGTACGCAGTTGCTCTTGTTTGAATTGGCATTTAGCAATGGAACTTCACTCTAAATACCAAGTTCCTCTTGTTTTGCTGCTGCTCTTACCTGCACTATGCCTGTCCCAAGGCTACACGTCCTCCAGAGCCACCTATTATAGTACCTCTGATGGCTATGGAACTCCAAGTACGTGAATCTCCTCTCTGATAATCACCCCCTCGTCACCTATACATCACGTTCTTTGCATTCAAAATCAAACCCATTTATAAGCAAGCCATGGCTTAGCCTAGAGACTCTCCGAGCCTTATTCTGCAGCCAGCTTGCAATATTACGAGTTCTGAGTTCATATATATAGCTAGTTTATTTTTATATAGACATGTATGATTATTGACGAAATGATATACATCTGTCTCTAGCCGGAGCTTGTGGATATGGCGATTACGGCAGAACTGTAAACTATGGGATGGTTGCTGGCGTGTCTGGGCTATGGAGAGGAGGCGCCGGCTGCGGTGCTTGCTACGAAGTAAGTGTCTTAACGGACTAATGAATGACTTAACAAACACATTAATTTCTTCCTCGAAAACATATTATAAATGGATAGATTTAATTCGTGTATACAGTTACGTTAAAATATGAAATAATACATAGGTATTAATTTCATGTAACGATGGCGTTCAGGTAAGGTGCAAGGATTCAAAATTATGCAACCAGAACGGGCCTACGATAGTGGCGACAGACTTCGGTGCAGGAGACAGAACAGACTTTATAATGAGTCTGAATGGTTTCTTGAAGCTGGGACGGGACTCGAGTGCATCGCAAGAGCTCAAGAAATATGGCGTCGTTGACGTCGAATACAAAAGAGTACCCTGCACGCATGATGGCTCCAACGTGCTGATCAAAATCCACGAGTCCAGCAAATACCCAGACTACCTCGCTATCATCATTCTCTACGTGCCTGGAATGAAGGACGTCGTCGGCGTTGAGATATATGACGTATGAAACTCTTAACCTAGTGCTTCAATTAATTCCTTGTTCTTTTTGAGGTACTAATCAACTAGTTGAATTGAAATGACAATGACACAGGATTATAGCAAAGAATGGAGGGCCATGAGAAGAGCGTTCGGAGCAGTGTTTGACATAGTCAATGCGCCACGTGGACCATTCAAGCTGAGGCTGCAATTCAGTGGGAGCAAAGACTGGGTAGAGTCATCCAAGAGTGTGATTCCCGGTGACTGGAAGATCGGAGCGTCTTATGACTCTGGAATTCATGCCTAAATTGAATCCCAGCTGCTTCAACGAGGGACTCCAGTAGTTGTACTTAACCTATCTATGTGGCTGACGGTGTGTTGTGTGTGGCTTCTAAGAAAATAAATAATTTATGTCTACGTGACGAATGAAGAATTAATAAACATTATGCTGATGATCGTGTGCTTTCCATTTGTGTTTGAATTAAAACATATATGTTTATGAATAAGAAACCTCTTTGTTTATGCAACCGGTTGATCTCTGATAGCCCCACCCCCACGTAGTGTGCTGGATGCAATGAACCAATAACGAAGGATGATCACTTTTTAATTTTAGAGAATATTAATTAGTCGTCCTTATTATCACCTCACATGAGTAATTTTTAATTAGGTCCCGATGCATAACGATGAGATTAAATATCACAAATACTTGATTAAAAATTAGGTAAAATTACAGGGATTGTAGGATTAATTTTTACTCTTGATTTCCTACTTGGTGGTTTCCATCGGGAGATATATGCCTTGATATTGACCGATACGTGCGATATAGACGCTTGACTAGATCATCAATGTTATTAAAGCAAGATTATTCCTTGAACTCGACACGCGTGGCACTCATGTATAACCAATTGATTCTATAACTCTATCATAGTCGAATTTTGACCCGACCATTTATAATTAAATTATCATATTTTTTAATTTTATGTATTAAACTAAGATATGAAAATAAAGAAATAATATACTTAACTTAGTTTTCAAATAGAAAAAATGTTAATATGCAATTATAGTCACAAGAATAAACATAATACAAAGAAATAGTGCAATAGAATATTCAATATTAAATTTTACAATGTTGATTTTCAAAAAATATTGTATTAATTGTTTCTATTAAAAACTAAATAATAAGTAATTAAAATTAAAAATGTAATAAAATATATTGCGGAGCTTTCGACCTCTTCTAATAAAAATGAAAAAGGAAGAATTTCAACTAAGAACAATGAATGTGACTTAATTATTAGTGAGTCCTAAAAAAATTTAAAATTTCAGTTCAATTCAAGAAGATTAAAGTGAAAACAATTTCAACTATAAAATGACTAAAATAACATTCACTTGTTAATTTTGTCCAACATGTAGAATCATTATTTATTAATTTTTTGCTTTATTTATTAATTTATCAATATAAATTATAAATTATATGATTTGACCTATCATTAATCATATAAGACTTGAATATCAGTTATATAATCACAAACAATAATATCAATTATTAATTTAGTAAATTAATAAATAAAATTCACAAATTAACAATTGATGATTATGTATTTCAGACAAATAATGATTTTACATCTCGAATGAAATTAATCAGTAAAGGATACTTTAATTTTTTTTACTATTGAAATTATTCTACTTCAATCCTTATAAATTGAACTAAAATTTCACTAATAATTAAGTCACAGTCTTCATCCTTAATTAAAATTTTTCCAATAAAAAAGTATATATGTGACTTGACTTGGGAGCAGGTAAAAGCAAATGCTGTGATTCTAGAATTTGTTTAGCACTCAAATAAATAGCATTGAAGATCTCGACTTGTAATGCAACCATTTATAGTTTTTTGACCAGATAACCATTTATAATTAAATTAGCATGTTAAAATATGATATAAAAATTAAATAATAATAAAATAATACATAGTTTATTACGATGAAATAAAATTATTTAAATATTCAATATTAAATTTTATAACATTAATTTTTTTAAAAAAAAAAAACTTTACTTAACACAGCATAAAGTAACATAGCGCCCGCAGATGTATAAAAAAGTAACAAAGGTTCGGCGTTTCTCCGCCCAAAAAAAAAAAATGAAGGTACGGGCGTACGGCGTTTGCCATCTCATTTGTGTCAAGCACAGACGGCGCAGAGAAGTGGTCATGACTCATGACAGTACAGGTGGACGACGGTAACAAAACAAACCAATGAAGGAGGGGCTTACATTACACGCAGGTAGAATGAATTTTTTTTATCTCGGAAAACAAAAATAGAAGTGAAATGACCAGTCTACCTTCTAAGAAAATTCATTTCCCCCTCCCCCACCGGTTGTGATCTTCAGTCTTCACCACCTACAACACAACCTGCTTAGGACAGAATTTATTGTATCCTAGCGTATGTGCTTGGGGAAAAATTGTAAGTCTCTACTGTTAATAAACCCATATTAACACAAACTCATGGTCATTAAGAATGGTCAAAGTGTAACGGACGTGATTTTTATCACAATTTTTTTTTTACAAAAGAAAAACTTCCCCCCTTTTTCTTTTATAGATAAATATTTTTTCAAAAAATATATCTGTCCAAATAAAATAACATTGAAATTAACAACCACCACTGAGCTTAAGATAGATGAAGTTCAATAAACAATTTGCAACAAGTCTAAGATTCAACAACAGTTTATAGTTATAATCAATTTTGCTAAACACAGTTTTTTTTTACTATTAATATGTACAGTTCAAAATAAATGGGCTTGATTCAATAGAAAACTATGGTCTAAATTGATATGTTTAAAAGTTATCCAACTTAAACAAAAAGATTAAGTGGTTCTAGTCAAATAACCTATGACAATTATTCAAAATAAAATTTATAAAGAATTCTTAGGTTATGGCAACTATAATTACAAAATAAACAAAAAATTACATGCCAAGCCGAGAGAAGGGAGCCCAAGCTCACTTCTTCAATGCCCTCCTTATAGCTCTACTTGATTACTTACCTAAAAAATGATAAGAAGTAACATGTAAAATTAAAATCTCAATAACAATTGATTATTCCAATATATATTGACATACTTTTTGAAACCAATTCGCAAACATATCTATGAATATACATATGTATCTCACAATCAATAAACAAAATAGGGGATGGAGTATTCACAATTATAGAATAATTTCTAAATCAATATTAAATTAAAACAACAATGATACATTTTTCAATCTCACTCTTATGACTTCTAACTCTCTTATTATCGCTAGCTGGAACCTAAAATAAGGTTATACCCAATCAAAGATATATTGTCATCAGAATAGGATTCTCCTCTTAAAAAGGAGGTGCCTATCTTTTCAAAATGTCAAAGACATTGAGAACTACAAAAAAAAAAAGGCCAATCACTATGCACATAGTGGAGGCAAACCATTGAGCATAAATATTCAATCATCAATCCCAAACAAACAATTATATTATTAGCCATCCTTAGTACTTCTTTTGTATAGCATAAAACAAATGTTACATTTCACAATAAGATCATACAAGTATTAATATATATTTAAATAAATATACAATAATAAAAACCATTATCTCAATATATGAAAGGATATTTTAATGTTACTTTTTCAAGCTATAATTAATTCAGACGTGCAGGGAACTTTTTAGTCACAATAACAGATTAATCTACATATCAAATGATGTAAATAGCATTATATGTATATATATATATATATATTTATTGTAATTTATCAATTAAATATAAAATTTAACTAAACTTCTCAAATTTACAACCATATCTTTTTAATCTAAATCCCTCCGATAAAAATTCAAAGCTAAGTTAATTAACTTGTCTTAGTCTCAAAAACACAATTTAAACAATATGAATATCCTATACATCATAGATCACAAAATTTATAGCTAAAACTTTAAATTTTGCTCTACTCATCAAAATTTTACTATTACTAGAAAGATCTAAATGAATAAAAAAATATTTATAAAAAGAGTTTTGAGAATAAAAATAGCTTTAAATATAAAATGTTACCTCAAAATCTCCTCAAATTTCTTATCCTCTGCTTCCTCTTCTCTCTATCTCTTGTGTGCATAAAATGAAATAAAGAAGCAAAGCCAACAAGATATGTATATTGGCCTCAACTCTACCGCCTCTTCTTCTTGTTCTTTTTTATTTTTATTCTTAACTTCAATATACTTCCTCATTAAGTCTACATATATATATATATATATATATATATATATTATCACTTATCATTATTATTTTCAATTTTTAAAAGCAAAACTTAACACAAAATTATATCCTAAGTTAAATAAAAAATTTTCTAATTAATTTATTTACCTTTAAACATTCTCCCTAATTTTTATTAACTTTAATTAACTCAAAAAATTTAAATTGGGATATTAAACAAGGTCCGAGAATGAAAGAGTTACACTAAGTTTAAACAAACATTTTTTAAAAATGGGATCCCAATAAAAATAATTTTTAAAACCATTGAACTCAAAAATTCACAATATCAAAGTTATTAGCAAATGAAAATAAGATGTAACCCATCAATTGGGATTACACCATGGTACAATGACAAATTAGCCCTTTCATATAACCTAAAAATTCATGCTACAAGTAATTTTCCAACTCAACAATTCAACCAAGTAATTTATGGGGATTGTATGGCACATTTCAAACCACAATTTAATCATGAACAACATCATCAAAATCACACATAAGTGTTAATCACAATTTTACTAGCCATATCACGAATTCATAATACTTGAATTAACAAAAATAACCAGACATCTAACATTCAACAATATCTCAACAAAATAATTAATCCACAATAATATTACTAACCCAAATACAAACTCTCATGAGTTTGGTTCACAAAAAGGCTAGGCAGATAATAAACACTGGTCACGTATTCAATTATAATCATAGATGCATTATATGTCCTTAAATTAGCATATATATATATATATATACACTCAATTGCACAAAGATAAAGGATATTATAAAAGATGTAATATAGCTCTAAGCCTTCAAATACTTTCTTTTGCCATGACTGAAGTGTTACCTATAAATATTAATCACGAAGTGAGATAAACATCTTGATAATCAAGAAATCATAACTTTTAACTTATACAAGTACAAGTGTGAAGAGCATGTAAAATAGGCAAAATACAATATTAAATTATAATAAAACATTTAAGTATGCGTGAAACATTAATTAATTCCCCCTTATCTCTTCCGTATTCTATTTGATTAAATTCATGTGTTATAATTTATAACAAGACCAACCTGTGTGACTGGACTAGCTCAATTCTCTATTGTTGTTAGAGGGATAACTCAATCAAAGGTTATGCTTCTTAACTTGGATCATGAACTTTTTTTATTAATTGAATTCCAATAAGGTGTTACAATTA